AACGGTTAATTATAGATGCAATTCTGCGGATTCAGTTTAAATGGAAAAACGTATAAAATTCGCGGAGAACAATGCGTATAGGATGATCTCAATAGTCAACACGTCATATTCAGTGTGCATATAAAAATGGAATTGCTCATATGTGGTGCATACAGTTAGTTAATTTTTAACATTGATACAATATTGAAAACATAGTACAGTCTATTTGTGTATCTAATAGATTCCAACAAGGCAATCACCTACGTCGCAAATGAGGTTAGGTTCAGCGCCGGTGTAGTCGTAGCGGTGATATGCAAGAAGTACCGGGCGGGGCTGTCAAGCATGGGTGAATGGGCAGGGAGCGCAGGCTGTCAACGAGTTAATACCGGCCAGCGGTGACCTTGAAACACTGTGGTCAGTTAAAAGTGGTGGGGGGTAAAATTGAGATTATAAATACCTATGAATCACCGCAAATTATCTTGTCAGTTATCTACAGCGAACAGACGTGCTCAGTTCAGATTTAGTCGCTAGTTAACGTTTTAGTTTTTAAAAAAATGGAAAAATTCTTCGTCGTTAAGGATTCTATTAAGAAGATTAAAAATTTAATCTATATGGGCGAGAAGTGGAATTTAAAATACGACCTATCCCTAAAGACGTCGAGCCTGTGGGATGGATCAAAGACGCTCTGGAGGAAATAGTAGCCAAAGGAACTGAACATCTCCAGCCCAGTGATCAAGTTGGATTCACTTTCTGTTCCAAAGACTTTACCCGCGGTCAAGGGTGGATAGCTTTTAAATCGTTTTCCGACGTTTCAAATGAGGACATATGGGAGAAGATATCTTCCATCTATCAGTCAAATTCTGTGGGGTTGAATACCGAAACTTTTTGCTTGGGAGTTACGTCCATAAGGTTGCCTGCTGGTCGTGGTAGAGGTCAGAATTTCAATACTTTTGATGAGGAATGCGCCAAAAGAAGAGGTATTATCACCGTTAAAAACACCGATAATTTGTGTCTCCCACGAGCCCTTGTCATCGCCATGGCCCATTTGAACAAAGACAAAGATTATAGCAGAATCCGCCTCGATCGAGGAAAAATACAAGGACAAAGAGCTGTACAACTTGTGGAAAAGGCTGATATTGTTATCCCTGAGGAGGGGTGTGGAATACCTGAACTTCAAAAGCTACAACGATATCTGCAAAACTACAAAATTGTTGTATACAAGTTTGGGTGCAAAGGTCGTGACGTCATTTTGAAGGCGTGTCCACTGGTCCGACGCTTAACCTAATCTATCACGAGGGGCACTACAGCGTCTCATAACATCCCTCACTGCTGCTTTTTGCTGCAGCTATTTTTGTGAGAACTGCCACATTCCGTATAATAATAAACAAATTCATAGATGTGATAAACAATGTTATGCTTGTAAAAGATCTCCGGCCTGCCTGAAAACGAAGCACATCGAATGCAAAGAATGTAATAGAAGCTTTTATGGACAAGAATGTTTTAACGCTCATTTACCATCGGTCTGTTCTAAAATTAAAAGATGTGTAGACTGTTTTAAAGTTCACAACGGTAATGATCACATCTGCGGACATATACTTTGTAAAACATGTTATAAAAATCAACCAATTGAACATATGTGCTATATACAGCCTGACAGAAGAATTCCAAAATCAATGATGTCTTATTAATATTTTACGATTTGGAAACCCGTCAGGAGAAGGAATTACCCAACGGATCTTTACTTCATGAGCCAAATCTATGTGTATTCAAACAATGTTGTGAATCATGTACCGATAATCCTATATGCAAGAAATGTGGCCTTCGATTACAGATTCTTCGATGTCAAGACGTCATTTCTCCATTTATGCATCATATTCTGACACTTCGTAAAAAATTCAAGAAAGTCATTGTACTGGCGCATAATGGTGGAGGATTTGATCATCAGTTTCTACTTCGTTACATTTTAGAGAAGACTAGTCTGTACCCAAATGTAATTATGAGAGGAACAAAATTAATATTGATGGAGGTAGGAAATGTAAAATTTCTGGATTCTCTCAATTATTTTCCTATGCCTCTAACTGCTCTACCCAAGGCGTTTGATTTGAAAGAGCTAAAGAAAGGATACTTTCCACATCTATTCAACACTTTGGCTCATCAGAATTATCTAGGGCCAATTCCAGCGCTCGACTTCTACGATCCCGACCATTTAAAAGAAGACACTCGGGAAAAATTATTAAAATGGCATGGCGAAAGAGAAGCGGAGGGATACGTTTTTGATTTTCAGAAAGAAATCGTTGAATACTGTATCTCCGATGTGGAAATATTGACACAGGCGTGTCTCAAATTTCGAGACCTGATGAAAACCGAAACCACAGTCGATCCCTTCCAGGAAAGCACCACTATTGCATCATGCTGTAACAAAGTCTTTAGACGCAATTTTTTAAAACCTGAGACGATCGGGGTAATTCCAAAAGGGGGCTATAGATGGCGTGAAAATCAGTCAAAAATTGCCATCCAATGGATGTTGTGGGAGGAACATCAAAGAGGAATCAAAATTCAACACGCCGCTAAGGGTATAGAAACCATTGTTAAGGGACATAAAGTAGACGGTTTTTTGTAGCGACACAAATCAAGTGTTTGAATTCCAAGGATGCTATTTTCCACGGTTGCCCTCGATGTTTCAAATACAACAGAAGCAATCCTCTGCATAATGATCCGTTGAATACATTGGAAAGTCGATACGAACAATCAGTTAGCAAGTAGAGGACTCCGAAGCCTTGGACTGAAGTAATTGAGATATGGGAATGTCAATTTCGAGGAATGCTAAACGATGAAATTAGAGCCTTCACAGAAGCACAATCCATTGATAATCAATTTACCGATTAACCCCAGAGACCTCTCTACGGGGGACGTACAGAAAATATCGTTGAATACTACAAGATCAAAACAAATGAATGCATAAAATATGTCGATATATGTCCCTGTACCCCCTTCATCTTTAAATATGGAAAATTTCCGGTGGGTCATCCAAAAAATTTACGTTAGGTGAAGAATGTGTTACAGCCTCTCCTGTCGCAGATGTCAGGACTTATTAAATGCCAGATTCTACCGACCAGAACTTATATCACCCCGTTTACTTTACCGTCAAAAATGAACAACAAATTGATGTTTGTTAACTGTCAAAAATGTGGTGAAGATTTCGTTCGAGAAGAGTGTCAGCATTCTATTCAAGGAAAGAAGGCCTAAAATGGAACTTGGGGTGATAGAAGAGGTGCTCAAAGCTATGAAAAGGTTACCAGATTATAGAGACTTACGAAATATGGGGAATACGATACAATTCAGCTCAGTAAAGACCAGAGGGGTTATTTAGCGGAATGATGACAAGTTTCTACAATAAAACAACAAGCTTCAGGATGGCCCAAACATTGCTTAACGGATGAAGAAAAAAAAACCGTTATATTGATGCATTTTTGGATACAGAGGACATAAAGCTGGAATTTTCAAAAATTATAGAGAACCCCTGTTTGAGATCGTTAGCTAAACTTATGCTGAATTCTTTTTGGGTAAATTGCTCAAAAAGAAAACCAAAACAAAACCTCAATAGTCAGAGACTGTGGTGAATTCTTTGATATGCTGACTAATCCTTCTATTCATGTAAATACAGTTCTCCCGGTAAACGAAGAAACCTTCTCGTAACTTGGGAATTTAGAGAAGAGGCGTATGACGTTTCTTCAACGGTTAACGTTGTATTGGCTTCATACGTCACGGCCCTAGCTAGACTAAAATTATATTCATTCTTGGAGAAAGTGGAAGAAAGGGCAGTTTACGTAGATACAGATTCATGTATTTATATCTCTCGTAAGGGATTAGACGACATATCTACAGGGCGACTTCATAGGTGATATGACCGATGAGCTCAATGGGGGTTTCATATCAGAGTTTGTTTCTGGAGGAACCTAAGAACTACGCCTACAAATATACTACTTTGTCTGGAGAGGAAACAGATCGTATGTAAAGTAAAAAGGCATATCACTCAACTACAAGGCATCCCAAGTGGTCAATTTTGAGAAAATAAAAGACATGGTGCTGAAGAAATCTGATCCTGTTTCTGTACTTTCTCGACAGCTACGACGTACAAGAGAGCATGCAGTAGTAACAGTCGAGTTTCCTAAGCTATACAAGATAACTTCAATGAAAAGGAAATTCTATGAAGATCATACCTCTGTACCATTTGGATTTAAGAAAATAAAATATTGATTTATTAATGTATGTAAATATTTTTTAATAAACATGTAAAATAAATGTATGCAAATGATTTTTTTGTTTTTTATTTCCCGCCTAATTGAAAAATATTTTTGCACCCGAAATTGTTCAGCCTTTTTACTCCATATAAAAATATTTAAAAGTATGCATTGTTATTATTAAACGCCTGCAGTAATATACACCAAAAAAATTGAGAAGCAGTGTAACCATGTAGAAACTTTGTATAATCACAAAAAAACATATCTTGGAAAATAAAAAATACAGCAGATTCATAAGCAGTGTAGAGAGGAAACTACGTAAAATTAATCGATTATTACTAATAAAATAGAGTTTTGAATTCCATATTTTTACAATAATAATCATTTTACTATCTTACGTGTTGGGCACTGCACTGCAACGGGTACAACACTGTACTGCACGGGCACGAAAAATTGAGAAGCATGATAACCATGTAGAACTTCGTATCACTACGTAAATGGTTATTACGAAAAGTAGAAATAAAAACTCTATTTTCGATAATAGCTATACTATTTTTATGAGCACCGAAAAATTGAGAAGCACGATAACCTCATAGAACTTCGAAACAGCACCAGAGACAACCGAAGGCTACAGAAAAAAAACACATACTGAAAAGGCATAACATCTATCAGCGCTGGTATCCGATAATACTGTTTTCCTTTGACATTCGTTGGGATATGAAAACACATATTTGCTTCCCACCGTTATAACGGAAATAATAGTTACTGCAAAGCAGTTTCACAATAAGACCATACATTAATCTACAAAGTTAATAATAAACATATGTACTATTAAAATGCAGATATTTTTAAAATTATACAATTAAAAAATCAAAATAATATATTATAAATGGTAGGGGATACAGGGTAAACACCGAAATATACTTAATTAGAATAGTTACCTATAATCTCCTCATTCTTTGGTCAGCCGTATCGACAATTTACCGGTGGGTCCTCTATTTTTGTGCATGTAAAAGGTTAGACTATGGCGCTAGCAAAAAAAAAACAAATGCAACAAGTAGAGTCACTTAATATTCTTGTTGAAGTTACGGATAGAATATGGTAGAAAGTAACAATCAGATATTGTAGAAGCCATGTAATTGTTTAATTGTTGAGGAAAAAGTATTTTTCATACGCTGACCATGTTTATGTCCGCTTGGTACGCGACCAGATTTTTTCCAAACCTTTGCCCGTAGGGTTCATGAGCCGACGACCAAATGTGTCGTCGAAGGGGCATTTTTTGGCCAAATTCGGTCGAAACCGATGCTGCGTTCGTACCCTAGAGCCTACGAACAGCGACTCAAACTTAATTTTAATTGATTGCAAAGATCTTGCTAGAATACTTGAGCTAGTGATTATATGCAATTTATCGGTGACGAGCTTTCCTCTAGCATATCTTTATTTATTCAAGCGAATCAATGAGAAACTAGTGAATAAAATTACCTGACAGCCATAGTACAAGTTGGTATATCTACACCTTCTCTTACATTTGGCGCCACTAAATGTTAATCTCCTTGTTTCTAAAAAACGATCAAGTACTTATCTGTTCTTCTTATTAATCGGAAGTGATTCTACGGTGCTATTAAAAGAGTTTCCGTTATATCCCACAACGAAATCGGCTTATATGTCTGAACTCTGGTACATGTTCACCTCAAATCTTCAGTACATGGTGCAATATTTTTGGCAGTTGATCTTTCCTTCGTGAATATTAAACCACAAATGTCTTCGTTTGAAGATGAACTGTTGAAAAGTGTTACGTTTATATTAGTATTAATATTTATGACATTTACTTTTTTTAAAATAGTTAAATACTACGATAAACTGGGAATGTGGGATGAAGCAGAAATGTTTCTGTAACCCAATTTAGGTATGTATAGCAAGTCTTACGCAAGACAATAATAAAAACAGATAGAATTTGAGGGCGATTCTTGGAAGAAAAATTCATAGTATTTCTAAGGCAACACCGACCGGAGTGCTATAATTTTAGCATACATTTACAGGTTATAGGTCTAATGATAAATAGAAAGTGATTAAAATTTTAACTTCAATTTTCGTAAAATAGCTGAGATATGCCATCTTGCAGTAGCCTGGAATGAAATACCCGACAGGTTACCCATCACCTGATAGTCTGTGGTTCTCGCCGCTAGATGACGCTACATACAAACGTCATCTGTCAAACGTTATGTGTATCATTGATAAGTGTGAGTTGTGTCTCTAAGCGCTAGATGGTGTCGATGTCGCACTGGTGTCGTAGAGTGACCCACATACAGGGGTCGATAGAATTTTTGGGGCCCTACCGACGGGTCGATGAACCGACGGTATAACGTCAGATCGAAATAAGCTCCATTCACATGGGAGGTGTGTGTGGAACTGCTCGTGGAGACACGGACCTTGTCGTATCTAGCAAGACGTGTCCTAAAATGGTGATACCCATTGGTCGCTCAGCCATACAGGTCGGTCAGACAGAAGTTTTTGGGACCCGGGTGCTCTGATTGGTGGATCAGACGGCGGGAAATTTGAACGGTGTTGATGGTATAGTTGAATGGTGGACGGCGGGGTTGGGTGCGTTGGTAATCACCTATGTCGCAAATGAGGTTAGGTAATGTTGGACCAGCGAAAGATTGCAAGCCGAAAGAATGCGGACAAAAAATTGCGAAGTTGTCAGATGTTCTACATAAAATGCGGTCCATACATATTAACATATTTAAGATATAGAATTGTTCCGCTGAATTTGGCAATGTAGCTGGAAAACCCAGGCCGCAGGTAAACATCCGGTCGCTGATTGGTCCAAAACTCTTATCTTATCTGAAACTAGAATAACGTGCCGATGGCACGGTCATTTATAAACCTACTCCCATAGGCGTAGGCAGTTGGCAAATACTTTGAAAATATAATTTACTGTTTAGTGGTGATAATGGAATTCAAGCATGGGAAAGTTATTCACAGCCAGGCAAGGGAAATAATAGCAAACGTGATACGTGCTTGCGATGCAGAAGCGGCTAACAATACTTTCGTTTATCCACTGGTAGCTAGAAATGCAAGGGCGGCATATTATACGGGTGTTAGTGAACGAACTATAAGTAAAATTAGAAAAGAAGATAAAGACAGGCAAAATGCAACCTCCACACAGCCTTTAGCTTCTCCCGGAAAAAAGAGATCACGCCCTTCTGTGATCCAAAAATTGATGGAGTCGATTTTTCCATTATTCGGAGAATGATAGAAAAATTTTACTGTGATTTTAAAGTGGTACCTACTTGTAGTAAACTTCTAATCAAACTGAAGGAAGAAATGGAATTTCCATTTGGTAAAGAATCGTTGAGGCTGCTTTTAAAAGCAAAAG